AAAGAAACCGATATAACATAGGCGCAGCAATAACGCAGACCTAGGCGTAGGACCATCTACACTGACACTTGTAGAATCCAAACTGACTGACACTTGTAGAGAATTTACTGTATTCACTTTTCAAAGGAGATTAAGGCAAATTATCGTGTTTTGTATTCAACATTCTAGGCGTTTTGAAATAAAACAGCTCTTACAGGAAATTAATGTAAATTTACCGTTTGACAACTTTGTTACTTTTTCATTATTCAGAATAACATTCTCGAGAGTCAACTTTTTTAATACTCTTTTATAATTAGTAAATGTTCCTCAATTTGTTATCTTCTCTAACTAAACAAACTTTAAAATACAAAAAAAGTACATATACACTTCTGTTGTGTCCTGAGAGTGACACAAAACAGACAGGTCTACAGGGAAAGTTTAACAAACGGAAACATTTGTCAATCTAGACCACAGTGACTTTCTCCGCGGAATAGCCACTAGAATTCCAAGTCGTTTTTAAAGGCGGGCCAAAAAGTGCAGGTCCATTTTGAGGACCACCCTGATGGCTCTTTCAAGGGTGTGGCCTTTCTGAATCTCCTCAATGAAAGTGAAAGAACGTACCAATAACTAAACTTTTTCTCAACATAATTGAAAATATAATAACACCACCCAAGCAGGTCGCCTAAAATTCCAAATTTCTGCAACTCGCGAGTACTCTCGCAAAACAATTCTCCAACACGCCAAAAACCCACTAATCCCATAGCACAGACACACTAGATTCACAGCAACATTAACCGAAGTAACTAATTCTTTCCGACAAATTCACACAAAGTTAATTCAACGCGCGAACAAGCACGAGCCACTTCTAACTCAGGAGAGTAAGGCGAGTGACACCAGCTTCCGTTCGAATAACGTACAAATAATCCCAGAGTATATCCCCCGAATATAAAACTCGGCAAATCTACCAACAGTTAATTGCGCGAAACGACGAAGCTGCGGGAGGGATGAAAAGCGTAACGCCGAAAATTATTCGCGTTTCTTATCTCTCCTCCTCTCTCGAAATTTAATACTCTCGCCACAGACATCGGTTAACCCAGGCATCGGAGATTTCCCCGCGGCCTTCGATAAATTTTTAATAGCTCGAATCGCTTGAAACGTCAGCCAAAGAGACGTGTAGGCGTCTCTCACCCTCCCAGCCCTACCTTTATCCACCGCCCCCCGTGGCATTTTCAACAGGGCCACGGGTGTTCCTTTCAACGAATTTGCACGGCGTATTTGCGCTCATTCGCGGAGCTATTTGACTTTCGCGTTTGCACACAGATAATTATAATCGAAGCCCGACGATCCGCGGCCGCCACCCAGCGGCGGCTTTAATTAATCACGATGAATAACGACGGGGCCACGCGAAACTTCGTTAACTTGCAAATTTTCCCCGGGACCCTGCCTCCTCCAGGATAAATTCCCTCTCTCCTCTCTCTCTTCTTCACGAAGGCCTGCCTGCCCTCTTCTCTTTGATTTTCCGGCAGCGATTTTGCATTTCCTTTGGCGGTGCGGTGTTAATGAACGCCTGGGAAAAATCGTGGACCGATAGGTAATTGATTCGCCGACTGCGATATCCGGGCGAGCGTAAGCAGTTAATTGTTGTAATTGAGAAAACGGCGAAGTGAAGGTGTACGAGAGTGGATTGGTAGTTTGGTTTATTGTCTCGACGAAACGACGTTGCCCGATGAATACTTCTATTTGCTTTATGTTAAGTGGTTCGGCTGATGTGTTCTACGCATGCTGTACTCGTTCAGTTTTCACCGAGTGATTTGATGCTACGTTTAGATTCAATCTCGAGATTTGATTTGGTTGTGCGTGAGCGAGCGTTGCTAACTTTTTCTCACTTTGTAATATAAACATGGAATATCACGTCGGAAATTTCATTCGCAACGTACGACAGGGTTACGCGAACGTGGAAACGACGGATATTTGTCGAATATGAGATCGGTATCCGTGAATTTCCTCGGATTTCCCAATTAGCGAGGAACTTGGAAAAGACTCTGTTCTATTCGGAGGTACGCAATCTCCCTACGAGATCAACGAGCAAAATGTAAAATACACAGGATCCGAACGGTGGTTATCACTGGATCCTCTGGCGGAAAGTTAGGCAGCTCGATCAAACTGTTCATCGCGAGGAGATTGCAGAACAAATTGAAGAAGGCTTCACAGCCGGTAATTGTGATTAATTGGAAGAAGTCCGCGGCGTGATTTTCCTAGAAATTCAGCGTGGTGGAACGATACGGGAGAGGTAACGCAGCCGCCACCGCGAGGTAAGAGATCCATAATCTTACGATCATTCGTTCCTTTTCCATCCGCCGTTTCGAATCACCTAACGCCGCGCCGGGACAGCCTACGCTCTGACGCGAGATTGCGGAACAAATCGGCGGGAATTTAGCCCCGGCGATCGTGATTAACCTTTACGCTACCAAGGGTGACTATAGTTGGCTCGTCATTAAGCCGCAGTCACACACGGTCGACCGGTAATCGTCGATCGAAATCGTTCCTTCGTTCGTTCTGTTGTTGAAACAATTAAGCCTCCTTCCATTCCGATTGATTTAATCAAGTCGCCGGAGAAAAGTCGCGATCTCCTACGTTATCTCGATCTACGCTTTGAAAATAGTTGTACAATGTTTCATGAATTATTCAGGACCAACGATAACATTCTTTTGTTCTTCGCGTGTCACGCTTAGTTTTATCTTCTCGATCCTTTCTGAACAGCGTTGCTCTTGTACGATTACAAAATTATATTTGGAGTTTGAAAAATGCGCGAAAGGTTTGAGGGTTGATTTCATCCCTTTGAAGTGAATTTCCATTAGAAAATAATTTGAAAATTAGAATTTCAGAATTCTTTACATAGTACACCTAAGTATATCACAAGGGAGAAAAATCTGGCGTTATTTACTTCGATTTTACTTTACTTCGAAGGATTAACTTCCTAATAACCCTAAAATAAGATAAATCCCCAAAGTCACACTCTCCCTAAAAAGAACCGCTTCTATTCGTCAGAAATTCCGCGATTACCTCGATCCACGTTTTCCACCGCTATCGTGTAACACAATTCCGAAAATAAAGCACGATCCAGAGGGGGAGGGGAGAAGCAGGACTATAAGTAACCGGAAGAAATCGGAGAGGATTTAGCCGGGATAATCGTGATTAATCACGACAGATTCGAGAGGGCCAACGCGAGATATCGCGTTCCTGGATAGCAGCAGCATCCACGAGCGATAACGATCCACGAGCGACCGCGATCATTTTTCCAACGATTGCGCACGCCGACCTGCACGTAATTTCCTTTACCTATTTCCAACGTGGGTTTTTCATCTCTCCGTACGGAGAGTCAATTACGCAGCTCGCGTTACAAACCTTTTGATTCACGACGTTCGCCTGGGCACCGAATAATAATCGCCCGCGGGGGGATCTAATCGCGATTAATTCGACGAGCGGCGATACGATCGAGAAAGGAAGTTGGAGCAGTTAGAATTCACCCTTTCCTCTATTACCCGCCGCCGCGGCTCGAAACGTTGAGTTGGAGCTGTCGAAGTTCGCGAGACGGTCCACGGGACTCCATTAGCCTCGTTAAGCGTTAACGCTTCGCGAGCAACGATATTCCGTAATGGCTACCTGGGTAGCCGAGGCTAATGGAACGCGGGTAGAAAGCGGATTTCACTGTAGCCCCCGATTCTGTCGTTCGCATTAATATCTATTGTGATTACTTTCGCCGTGGCGCCCGGTGCAGCCGATTCGGGATTAATTATTACGTCGAAAGAGAGCAAGAGAGAGAGAGAGAGCTTGGAAATGTAACGGCTCCGAGAGAGACAGAGAGAGGGGCTCTTGTAACCGGCCACGCGACGATGCTGATTTTATTGCCTCGCTGGCTTCCATTCCGACCAACGACCACGCCGTTGCTGTTCGGGGACGGAGTTCGAGTTCTCGTTCGAAACTTTCGACCGGGGGACGTGTTGATGAGAAAAATTTCTGGCTTGCACGGGATACGAAGTGGGATTTGCACTGGGGTAGGCGATACCGTCGCATTGTTTAGAGAAAGGGAGAAGGGATTAAGAATTTTTTTTTGAGAATTGGCGAGGGTGGAAATGTCGGGGTGAGAAGTGATTTAAAAAGTGAGTGAAAGGGGAGATTGATAGGTGTTGTCGATGAGGAACAATTTGAATTGAATTAACCCTTTAAGTTACAAGTTTTACTGTCCAATTCTCGTAACTTGTCCACGGTGCCGAAAAGAATACTTTATTCCAATACATTGCGATATGCATAAATAATATGTGAATAGTTAGAAATAAAACTATTTAAATATGCTGCGTGATGCATTAGATGAAAATTTTACAAGTACTACCATTTATTCCAACTAAATGCTTTTACCAATTTCGAGACCGCCGGTCACCGATCACCCCCACGGCATTCAACGTGTTGATTTCTATTTCACTTAAATATTTTTGTAACAAATCTGAGGATATAGTGTCAAGTTTTACTATTATTATTTATTCATTAACTGTACAGGAGACAGTATTAGAAAGACACATTTTTAGGTCAGATCAATGGGTAAAATGTTGTTGTAAGTGAAGGTTAAAATGGTTAAATACGAACGAACTTGACGTTCTTTTCCTCTTTCTCGTCAAATTTCGTATTCCTGTATCAGCGATGTTGCAACGATTCTATGGAAAAAGTTTCGAAACGAACCCCTTGTGTCGGGGATTATCAAACTCGTCGGGAGGGGAAAAATAGAACGCAACGGGAGGGTGCTCCTCTTTAGCGTAAAGAATCGACGCATTGTACAGGGTGAAAGGTCAAAGAGCGTTAAAAATACAGAGCCGGTCCGAGGGTCGTTATGGAAGAATTAGATTGTGGAAAATATGCAGCAAGCAGATAACGAACGTACAAGGTTGGCCTAATGAAACAGGCCCGGTACCGTTCGAGCGCCTCTTGCTCCTTTTCGATCGACGAGATAAAGAGTATCGTGCACTGACCTTCTTCAGGTGACCCTTCATCGTGCCCAAGAAGACGACCGTGTAGTCGCCGGTCGAGGTGGCTGCCACCGCCGTTAGATGTGTGTTGAAAGTGAGTACCGGGGTTCCTTCCACCGGATCCTCACCTCCGAGAGGCGTGTTCACGTCCAGACCGCAGAAATCTTCGCCGATCGTTTGCAGTTTCTGTAATCAGAGAGAAATGGAAATTACGATTAATTTGGGGGTTCCGGTTTCGTGGAGGTGAGAGTGGGAGATCTGAATGTTGCTGGACTCCTGAATGTTAAAAAATTGAGAAATTGAAAATTTGAAAATCTGCTGATGTGACAATTTGAAGATTTGAAAACTTAAAGATTTCAAACTTTGGAGATTTGAAAATTTGAAGATTTGAAAATTTGAAGATTTCAAACTTTGGAGATTTGAAAATTTGAAGATTTGAAAATTTGAAGATTTCAAACTTCGAAGATATGAAAATTGAAAGCTTAGAAAATTCGAAGATTTCAAACTTTGATGATTTGAAAATTGAAAGCTTAGAAAGTTTGAAGACTTTCGAACCTTGAAAATTTGAAAATTCGAAGCTTTGAAAATTCAAGAATCTTCACCTTTAAATACGAAAATTTGCAAATTTGAAAACAATTCGCTCATCGCATCGGTCACAGCAATCCGCTGTCGTTCGAAATTGCATAAAATTTAGTTGGTATGTAACATTATGACATTATGCGGATCAGCGTCCGCTTCTACGAACCACTCCAGCATGGAACAAGTGTACTAATAACAATTACGTCATATTGTTGCGGGAAATTGAATACTGTAGTGCAGCTTTTACCTATAATACCACTATTTTGCATGATAAACAACGCAAATAATGCCGCTCGTTGCGCACACTTCTTAAGCTGGATTAGAATTGTTTCATACTCGAACGGTATATCTACAACATTATATTATATAAATATTCAATATCCGCGACAGTTATATTTTGACGAGTTAACGAACTCGTCGCAATCAGCCGTTACTTCCCGTTCACGTTGAAGCTTTCAGCAACAGACGATAAAAATAAGCTTCCAGTGATATTGACTATCGATTCTGAAAGTTTTCCTTGAATATTGGCTGAGTTTCTGATATGTCAACTGCTATTACGAAGCAGTAAGAAATTCCAAGTTTACCAAGCCTTAATTAAGATCTTAAGTTTCCTCACTCATGAATAACTAAATGAAAAAGTATCGAGGTAAATGGATATACGAATTTCAAATCGTGAAACCAGGGAAAAAGTCACGCTCCTGTACGTTTATTCGAACGTTAATCTCAAGCAAGTATGCATTGTCTAGCATAATCGATACCAACCCGTACGTTTATTGTTCCTACTCTATTACAGCCCGGAAATCTCCTAGATTCGTAGTTTGTTGCAACGTCCTAGATTCCCGCGAATCTGGAACGCTTCGAACGAAGATGAATCTGCATCCAGTTTCAATACCCGATACTTTCGCTTAAACGATAATCCACCACGGACGTAAAACCCAACGTCCGATAATTCTACACCCTAAGTACACCTTCGCGTCGCAAAATCCTATACCTCAAACATAAAAAAAAAATCTACATCCCCTTTAATATCCCAAGAATTCATCGTCTGAAGAGCACGATCAATTCGCTCGTATCGACAATATTATCGATCACGCGTGGTCCATATACCGAGATACCGAAAACTGACGAACATCCAGATATTTTAAAATCCGACCATCGATGCTATTACGTGGCGCAGATATTCGCAATAATATTATAACATATAACGCAATAATACTATCGTCAAAGCGAATTCAAAATATTATCGTCAACCTCCACTGATTAATACTACCGATCGCGTACGGGTCGTTTAACTCTCCCGCCGGAGTCCCTTTAATCGACTCGAACCACCTGATCCAAGGCCTCCACAAATCAAACCACAGGAAGAGAACAGCGTTCCTTAGAAATAGAGACGTACGCATAAATACCTCGCGCACGCTCCTATCTGTGATCGCGGGGAGGCCTTGAAGGTGCGCAAGGTTAAATCGCGAGATGATTAGGTCACGGCGACGATCGTGTGAAACGCAGCATCCTCGCGGCGAAAGGAGAGACACGGGTATCTTGCGATTTCCACGAGGTTTTCGTTACGGGGAAAACCGGCGGAGGTCGTAGGTTATCTCGCGCGCAGAGCGGAATCCACGAAAAGTATCCGCGGTAAAATATCGCTAGCCTTGCCGCGATAAATTATCACCGCGTCCAACGATTAATTGTTGCGGCGGTGTGCGGCGATTAATCGCGTCGCGGGACCAGATGCGATACTTTATTGCTCTTGTGCCGAACCTTCCGCTCTGGCCGTCGTGTTTCTCTTAGACGAGCGCAAGAAGTCCACGAGCTTCCGGTTCCTTCCGTGCTTCCTCCGCGAAATTGGAGACGCTTCCGCGCAGATATTCTCCGTGACAGTCTGGTTGATTGTTGCGCGGAGTTTTTGCGCTGGCAAATAGAGTTTTGGTTTCTTGCGGTGAACGGTCGTTGACGTTGATTTAATTGTGCCGAAGTTACGATTAATTCTCTGGCCGCACGGTACAGACGTGAACTTTAGATGTTCGGTGTATTCTTTCTACCGCGAGGAGTATTCTGTTGTACAGGATGTGTAGTAAATCGTGAGGCAAACGACAAGTAGGTGATTTCTTATCGAAAAATAAGTGAAAAATGTGGAATAGAGTTTTTTGATAGGTTGCCTAGTTTCCGAGAAAAGTGACTTTGAATGTAAAGGTATAGTCGGTCGAAGAAATATGGCATCGAAATTAAGAAACTTTATTCTGCATGATTTACTTACCTTTTCCATAAGAAATCACCTATTTGTTTGATTTACAGGACATCCTATATGTGTGTTGAATAGAATTGACATAAAAAACTTTATTTCTCGTCCAACCACCTAAACTGAAAATTCCACTTAACCAAAGTAGCGAAATCATTTTAAATCCTCCCTGAAGATTTTCAATTACCATCAATCGGTCAACCAACCACACGTTCCCATAATCTGTCCCACGCCATTACGAATTAGCAGGCTTAATGAAAACCAAACTGTTGCCGGGATTCGCCCGACCAAGGGGTGCCAGCCTTTCCCGGTACCTGGTTGCACGCACACAAGCACACACGCATTCTTGCTAGCCGCACACGTATACACGCACACATAGAGAAAACGTTGAAGCTTTCGTACGCTGGTACACGGTGCAAGAGAGGTCAATACATCGACGAGTAGAGGTAGAAAGCATCGTTTCTAGCGGGGGCACCGGCAAGTCGGCTCTATTTACATTCCAGGGTTGCTTTCGCCACCCTGTATACACTGCACCGAACAATTATTTGCATTCCTGGTGCTAATACGCCGCCCGACGTTACGGAAAGGGGGTACACACTTTCGCTACGGAACACGTTCCATCTTTCTCTTTCTAACCGTATATACGTCGCGGATCACTTCTTCCATCCGTTCTTGCCGATGTGTGTTTTTTTTTGTCGAACCAGAGGCAGAAGGCCCAAAGGAACAATGGTTATGGTAAAACAACGGGGTGCACCCCCGGTTGTGCTATTGAAAACACGCCTAATGCGACCATCAAGACGAAACGGAGGCTCGTTACTACGCGCTCTTTGTTTCACCTTCCTCGTCTACGCTTGCTGCTCTCTCTTCTCTTCTCGGGTTCGCGTGGAAAATTGGAGTAACGACGTGTTAGCGAAACACGCTACTACGAGCCGTCGTCGCTTCTCGCGCGCGAACGCACGGCAATAATCCTCCTTTTTTCCCTTTTTTTTTTCCACGTACGAAAACCGTGCGGATGCGAGCGAGCGGTGCCCGCGGACAAGGTGATTAATTTACGCGTTTCCTGCTTCAATGGGAATCGTTTGATTACGAGCACACGCCGGGGCTCGCGCGTTTGTCCGCGGCTTTTCATTAAATACGATGATCCGCGAGAGGAGAATTCTCGATGGTTACCGGGAGATCGATGTTAGAATGCCCGGGCTGAGTGGAATTGCTTTGAGAAACTCGCGCGTTTGTGCAACGTCCACTTGCTCGTTAATGATCCGGCGTGGGTGGTAAAAGTAGGATTCTTGCGGTTGTAATTAATAAGTGTAGAGAGAATGGGGGGAGATTGTTACGAACGAATATTTTCAAATGTTTCTCGAAATTTCCTGCACGTACAGAGGGCAAGAATTAATAAACGTTTCGTAGCAGGAGATATTACAGCGGGATAACTGTTAAAAGTATAAATGCCGGGATATTAAACGCGACATACACGCCGAAGGTATTAATATTAACCGCGAATGGCAAACTTTACGTGTGCTACACGTGTGGAAACGGGATAAATTATTCCACGACGATCAATGCAACGCGCAGCTTTCTATTTTACGTTAGCTTCGTTTTAATTAATCCGACGAATTCTCTACTTTACGCTGCTGATTCGGCGTATCATTTGAGAAAACTGATTCATTGGGAGTATTAATCAAAAGAAAAGAAAGGCTTGTAACGATATTTGAATTCAAATTCAATTAGTCACCTCGTTATTAACCCAAAATTTCAAATTTTACGTTAGATTCGAAGTTAGGTTTAAAAATGGCTATACAGTAAATGGTTAACTGCGTTCTTTCGTTAACAGTGCCCTCGGCAGCCCTTTTTGCGGGCAAGGGCGCCCGCCGATGCCCGCGGGCAAGCCGAGGGCAAAATCGCGGGCTAATGATGACCCATAGGTTAAAACGAAGTGGATGAACATATCTTCGAAACATACTTTCCCTTCTTATAACAGAGCGATAGTTATTACATTACATACACGCACCGTTGCCCGCGGAGGGCAAATAGCTGCCCGTACGGGCAACGACTGAACACCACTGCTCCAGATACCGACTATTCAAAAAACCGAGTTATCCCAACCTCCTCAATTAAGAATTTCTTCGAATGAACGTCAACCCATTCAGACACGTTCGTTGAATGGCACATTCTCGAGCTACTTCTTCGCACACCTTCTTGAAAAATAATACACACGCCCGGGGATCCTCTAATTATTTCCAACGGCGCGCTACTTCGCCGTCGAACTCCAACGAAATCCGATTTACCTGTAACCGGCAAACAATTCAGCTTCGGCGTGCAGGGACTTCATTAAAATTTAACGAACGCCGCTCATTTGCCGGTCTCTTGGCGA